GACAGGATTAATGTATTTCAGTACGCTATTTATAAAAATTATTTAAAGATTCTTTTTTTACATCTTATTTTAAACGTTTGACTTAGCGCAGACGATATAAATTAATTAAAAAACATCAATATTTTTTTTAAACTTATATTATTTAATTTATTTACTTTTTATTTTATTATGCAATGTTGTATTTTTCATGGTGCCGATTTGTACTCTTTTTCAAGTAAAACATATTTGATCTATATCGTTCCCGCTGAAAAAGCTCGCGAGGTTATCGACGATGACATGGAACAAAATGTAAAATCACGGACTGTGAATATCATTTGATTCTTCCATCTTTTCTTCCTATTTATCCGATCAAAGCGACCCGTCCCACGAGCACTTATCTCCTTTGTGTTTACAGTTGAGACGCGCTATCGCTCAAAAATGTTTCTTGCCCCCTTTGAAGGATTGGGACGCCGCCATTTCAAAGGTAAATTGAGCCCTTTTGCGATCTCACCCCCTGATACTCCGGCTGACTTTCCGTCGGAGGACGTCGCGCAATTATTCGCGTATCTCCGTAATGGAGCGGAGAGGCTGAAGCAGATCGCGAGAGCAACAACGACTCGAAGATCATCGTCGATAGGTAACATCGTCTCGTTTATCGCAGAACCGTGAAAACTCAAGGATTCCTGAGACGAACAACGTGACGCGGGAGAGTCTCTTGAAACCTCCTGTTATATACCCGAAGGATAGAAGGATCACCACGAGCGAAGTATTGCCGTCCCGAAAGAGCAGAAAAACGCTCGAGAAAACGCCGAGCTTCGATTCGTCTCTCGATTTATACGCCGATGACCTCTATTTGAAAGCGATGCAATACCGTCATTTACAGGAGAAAGAATTAGTGGATCGTCTTATGCGTCAAACCCTAAACTCTTGAACGAATTCAAGAGTTCGTGTAAGAAATGTAAAAGTCTGTTCAAAACTGTAACTTCTGGATATTTTCGTAACTTATTACCATTCTTTAACATCTATTTTTATTTTGGTTATTTTGTAGATATTTTATCGCTATTTGTTCTCCGTTACATTATCATATGTTTGTTCGTTACATATGATTTGTTTATATCT